CCCACACACACGCGCGCGCGCGCATAAACACGCATAAGCAAACGCGCGCACACATACAGGATGCACTCAAACACACACCCACATGCGCGTTCACACACGTGTTCAAACTAATTAGAAGCAGGAAGACAGCCCACATTTGCTATCCTTTGATTAGATCTAAGGAAGAACGATGAAGGCCCTATTCCTTTGGGATTGCATTAGCTATTTGTGAAGGAAATGAATTCTCAAAATCGGTCAGTTTGACATTGAGATTAGATATTTTGCTGTCTTCCAAAAGCATTAATCGTAAATGAATGAACATAAGATATGAGTAAAAAACGTGTGTTCCACTCAATTCTTTAACATTGCTTTTTGTAAAGTGTCAGTTGGAGAAGTTCAGAAATAAAGCTTTTCCCGGAGCTGTGAATGGAGTCTCAGAAATGAATCTTGTTTTTTCTAAACTTTTTATATCTTTCTTTCTCCCCTCTCTGCCTCTTTTGACTCCCTCAGTATCTCTGCCATTCTCTCTCTTTCTCTTTCTCTCTCTCTCTCTCTCTCTCTCTCTCTCTCTCTCTCTCTCTCTCTCTCTGCCCCCTCCCTATCCCATTCTCTCTCTCTCTCTCTCTCTCTCTCTCTCTCTATCTCTCTCTCTCTCCCTGTCTCTCTCTCTCCCTCTCTCCCTCTCTCACTTCTCCCTCTAACAGCAGAATGCAGAAAAATTTAACAGACTTGAAAGAGCTTACATCCTAAAGATAGTCAAACTTGCTTTAACGGTCACCTGTGTAAGATAATCACCTTTGCAAAGGGCCACTTCCAACTTTGCCCCTCGTATTTAAAAAAATGTATTAAGTTAGACATGATAAGCTATTTAAAATCCTGGAAAAGCTAAACATAAATGGAAAAGATATAAGAATTATGAGGAATTTGTACTGGGGCGAAAATGCTACTGTACGAATTAATGGAGAATACAGTGAATATAAGAGGATCAGGCGAGGAGTGAGGCAAGGATGTGTTATGTCACCAGACCTCTTTAACATGTACAGTGAAACAATCCTTAGAAACATAAAGAATGTCCAGTTCTCAAAGTGAGCGGAGAAAATATTAATAACATCAGGTATGCAGATGACACACTTTTAATGGCAGGCTCAGGTACGGACCTTCAATAACTTCTAGATACTGTTGTAACAGAAAGTGAACGTTAAGGGTTAGCGTTGAATGTAAGAAAAAAAGAGAATGCATGGAAATATAAAAAAGTTGCAAATCCTAGTTGTAATCTCATTAGTACTGGTTAAAAAATCAAACAAGTCCAACAGTTTAAATATCTAGGATATATGGTAACATCTGATGCCTAAAGTTCCACTGTAATAAAACGGAGAATTACAATGGCTAAGGCTACTTTCAATAAAATGAGCCCAATCCTGAAAAATAGACTCCTCTCAGTGACCACCAAAATGAAAGTTCTGAAATGCTATGTATGGTCAACCCTTCTATATGGCTGTGGATGCTGGACAATCACTAAAGACTGAAAATAAAATAGAAGCAACATAAATGTGGTTTCTTAGGAGACTGCTAAGAGTATCGTGGAAAGAAAAGAAATCAAATGAGGTAGTACGTGATGAAGCCCAAATGGGACGCTCAATGTTGAACAATTTGGGACACCTGAATAGACATACGGGTCTTGAACATCTAGCTCTCACTTTCAAAACCGAAGGCCAACGAGGCAGGCGTAGGCCCAGAACAAGCTATTCGGGGAACCTAAACAAATGGGTAACAGGGAAAGATCAGGGAATCGTAGCTTATTTGAGAGCATCCGGGCAAAGGAATGAATTGAGAACCAATATCACCGATGTCTGTCCCAGATCTGGCACATGATGATGATGATGATGGCCCTGTATAGGACACCCACCTGTCTCAGACAATCACTTATCTCCTCGACACGTCAACGGGGGGATGTCTTGAACAATTTCGACTGTAGTTCACCGATATATCTCATTATTAACACATGGATAATACCCGGAGATATCATCTCTGGCTCAGAGGTTGACCTGGGATGACCCGCTATTGTTTACGGTCGCTAGCGGATAGATAGATAGATAGATAGATAGATAGATAGATAGATAGATAGATAGATAGATAGAGGTATCATCTCTGGCTCAGAGTTTCACGTGCTATGACCCGCCGTTGTATACAGTCACTAGCTGCCGTCATACACTCTGTCATGCTTAGGCCCGTCCATGTCTTGATGTTGTCGGTCCACATTGTTCCTTGTCCACCCTTAACCCTTTTGTCCCACGTCTTGCCTTTGAGTTTCTTTCCTAATGATCTGCTGGTGGTCTTTGTGACCAAAATATTGTATGTTTCTACTTTTCACTTTGTGATTAATACCTCGAGTGCTGGTCATGGTTAGGCTCTCGGGCTCGCTTTCCTAAGGTGTGATCAAATCCAACCAGCGACCCGGCGTTGTGTCCTTTATAAAAATAATAGATAGCATTTGTATATCGCAAATCCCCACTCAACAGCTTCACAATCTATACTAAAACCCCAGAGGACCTGAGAGCATTCTGAAACAATCTCAACTTCCTGGGAAGCATACAGTGCAAGCGGCCATTTATAGACGCAAAAGCACTAATATACTGACAAGATCGTTCGCTGTCTATGGCTGGGTACCCATTCGCACCCTGATGAAGTGAGGAAAATTTGTGTAAAGTGCCTTTTCCAAGGACACAACGTCGGGCCCGGGCTCGAACCCCCGAACCCACAACCTCGCGATTACGAGCCCAGTATCCTAACCACTAGGCCACTGACGCCATCTTGAGAAAAAGCGATTTGAGCGAATTTTCCTTACCTCACCCAGGTGGGAAAGGGTACTCGGCTTGCATTGTATGCTTCACAGGTCTATAAAGCGCATAAAACATGCTGTAGCGTTAATAATTATAATACTATTACTATCATTATTATAATTAGAGGTAATAGTAGTAGTAGTAGTAGTAGTAATAGTAGTAGTAGTAGTAGTAGTAGTAGTAGTAGTAGTAGTAGTAGTAGTAGTAGTAGTAGTATGATCCTTGTTATCATCAAAATTAAGGGTATTATTATTAGTTATAGTATAAGTAATAACTTACTATATATTTTTAATTATTATTGTTATTACTTTTAATTTCATTATGAATATCATTATTACTGTTATTATCGTTGTTGTTGTTGTTGTTGTTGTTGTTGTTGTTGTTGTTGTTGCTCTTCTTTTTCTTCTTCTTCTTCTTCTTCTTCTTCTTCTTCTTCTTCTTCTTCTTCTTCTTCCTCTTCTTCTTCTTCTTCTTCTTCTTCTTCTTCTTCTTCTTCTTTTTAAAAAATTATGTTCTTAATTTTTTGTTTCATTCCTCAGGTAAACCGCCTGGAGCCTTCACCCTTCCCACAATTCCGTGCCACAAAATACAACCCAACCAGACCTGGACAAGGCAGTCTCCCAACGGATTTCTCTTCAACGACAAGTGGAACTTTCTCTCGTGTCAGAGAGCTCGGTCACGAAACTGTTTCCAGAATTTAACGGTTTGTGTCTTTGATGATCCACGTGTCTTTTTGGCGATTACGTCATTCTGAATAAGATACGATAAAACAAATAATGTGTGGCAACGTGGTAAAACAAGACTCTCGTAAAAATAATGAAATCGATTTTTTTAAACGGATATTCCTAAGCCTTTTGCTCAATTTTTGACAACTGGACAGAATCAAGATGGCAACAGACGAGAAGCTCCGAGGAAACCAGACAGGATTTCGCAAGAACCGACCATGTGTGGACCAGATCGCTACTCTGCGCAGCATTGTTGAGCTATAGCTTGAATAGAATTATGAAAAGGCATTTGACAGCATGGACAAGGAAACTCTGTGGAAACTCATGCGGCATTTTGGAATACCTGAGAAAATCATAAAGCTTGTGAAGGCCACTTATGATGGAACAAATTGTCAAGTCCTCCACGAAGGACAACTCTCAGAACCATTCCAGGTACAGACAGGAGTGCGACAAGGATGCTTGCTCTCGCCTTTTCTTTTCATACTGGCAATTGACTGGGTCAGGAAAGAAGCCACCAAAGGCAAGCGCAATGGAATACTGAAGTTGATCCCTTGGCAGCAGCTGGACGACTTGGACTTTGCCGATGATCTTGCACTGCTCTCTCACACACATGCTCAGATGCAAGAAAAAACCAAGGAACTCAACAAGCTATCAAGGAGTGTTGGCCTACATATAAACCCGGGTAAGTCAAAAGTAGTGAAGCTAGGAAAAGTTTCAAGCACTGCTGTGACAGTGGAAGACACATCCCTGGAAGAAGTGGACTCCTTTTCCTACCTTGGAGGCAGATGTAGAAGCAAGAACTGATAAAAGCAAGGTAGTCATTCAAGGATTTATCAAAAGTCTGGAATGCAAGCAGCATCTCACTGCGAACCAAGATTCGACTCTTTAATTTCAATGTCAAGTCTGTGCCTCTCTACGGCTGCAATACTTGGAAGACAACAAAGTCAGTGCTGGATGAAATCATGTCTTAATCATATTATTATTATTATTAGTAGTAGTAGTAGTAGTAGTAGTAGTAGTCGTCGTTGTAGTAGTAGTAGTAGTAGTAGTAGTAGTAGTAGTAGTAGTAGTAGTAGTAGTATTATCACCATTATTACAATTATTTTTAAAAATTATTATTATCATGATCATTATTTTTGTTGTTGTTGTTGCTGTTGTTGTTTTAATAAATATCAGTGATTCTCACCCTCCTCAGCTCTACGTTCTCGGGGACTCCAATTCTCGCCATCACTACAACAGCTGGTGCAAACTAATCAACGCCGTCCAGCGCATCAAACAAACGATCCCTGCCTGGCATTCTCCGCTCGAATGCTCCAAACCCTCCATAAACTTCTTCTCCAGGTGGGACCCCCACGCCAGCCCCTTCACTGTCTCCATGGTATGGAGTTTTGTATTGTCATCACCATCATCATTATCGTCCTTTATACTATTTATTATTATTATTATTATTATTATTATTATTATTATTATTATTATTATTATTATTATTATTATTATTATTATTATTATTATTATTATTATTATTATTATTATTATCGTATATTCCCACTATTTGGAAATAGAAAGAAAAGATTACAGAAATGAATGGCCTAAGACCAATAGCCTTAACATCCCTGGTTATAAAATGTCTTTAAAATGAGCTAAAAAAGACTACGAACGTACATAGAACCTGTCCAGAACCCTCTGAAATTTGCATATCGTCATGGGAGAAGTGTGAAAGACGTCATTCTACTATTTTTTGAAAACGTATAGACACTTAGACAAGCCAAAAACATACTGTAGGATCCTATTTGTTTATTTTTCTTCAGCCTTTAATACTATCCAGCCAGCTATTCTTTTAAAGAAATTAGAAAACATAGGTATCAACCTCAAATTACTATCATGGATAGGGACTTTTCTTACCAACCGAATCCAGTATGTGAAATTAAAACATTCTTCATCGACACACATCGCAACAAATACCGGGGCCCCTCAAGGATGTGCTTTGTCCCCTGTTTTATTCACACTACACACGAACGATTGCCGAATAAACAAAAATAACAATCATCAAGTTGATCAAATTTGCAGATAATTCCACCATAATTCGGCTCATTCAGGCTGATTATAACAAAACGGCATACTGGAATTTAGAACTAAACTTTTCTATAAAAAAAATAATATAGTGAGCAAATCATAAGCTGCTTTTAATTGTGTAAAAAAAAGCCATAGAACTTGTTGACTTTAGAAAACAGAAACTGCCCCTGCAGCCACTCAAAATTAAAACTGAAAACGTCGAGCAAGTGTCAGATTACAAGTATTCGAATGTTACAACAGACAACAAACTCAACTGGCCTGTCCACACTTCTCTCCTGCATAAAAAAGTGAACAAAATACTTTTTTTTTCGAAAAAAGTTCATGTATTTTAAAGTTGATAAGACATCGATGTTCATATTATACTATTCAACCATAGAAAGTATGATCAGTTTCTGTATAACAACATGGGTCGTGAACACAAGACGACAAGATAGAGAAAAATTAAATCAGTTAATACGGAAAGCTTGCAAAAATTTCAAATGAATCTCCTCCTTGGAGGAATTGTACATTACAGTTAGCACACACAAAAAATTGTTTCCATCTTTTTTGACAATAAACATCCCTTTATCAGTTTAAAAAAAATTAAATCAGAAGTAAAAGACCAAGGCTTCCTATCTTTAACAAAAAAAGATACAAAATGTAATTTTTACCTTCATCCATCAAAATTCTTCCATTTTAAACATCATGTTACAAGTATTTATATGACCTTGGAGCATGCATCAGAATAACATAGAGTTACAGTCAGAATATTGAGTATGTATCTAGCTTTAAATTATTATTGTTTTTTTTTTTACTATTAATCTACATTATGCATGTAACTTCGAGCCTGCGCGTGGATGTATGTTTGTGTATGTGTTTTTGTGTGATGTGTGTGTGTGTGTGTGTGTGTGTGTGTGTGTGTGTGTATGTGTGCGTGTGTGTGTGTGTGTGTGTGTGTGTGTGTGTATGTGTGTACGTGGTGAAACACCAAACCAATGTGCCAGGATCTGGACAATAAAGATGTATCTTATCTTATCTTATTATTATTATTATTATTAATATTATTATTATTATTATTATTATTATTATTGTTATTATTATCATTATTATTATTGTTATTATTATTAATTACTATCGTTATTATTATTAATATTTTATTATTACTATTATTTTGTTGTTGTTTTGTATTGACATTATCATTTTTATCATCATCATCATTATTATTATAGTATTATTATTATTTTTATTATCATCATTAGTAGTAGTAGTAGTAGTAGTAGTAGTAGTAGTAGTAGTAGTAGTAGTAGTAGTAGTAGTAGTACATGTAGTACCATTATTATTGTTATTATCATTAATATTATTATTATTATTATTATTATTATTATTATTATTATTATTATTATTATTATTATCAAAATTAAAATTACGATTATTAGTTTTAATACTATTACTATTATTATCTTTTACCTCATTCCCAGGGTGTGTGGACTTTGCTGGGTACTCAGATCATACCATCCTCTCACGTGATCGATTCAATTCCCGCCAAAACCCCAGGTCGTGTTCTGCTGGTGCTACACCATTACTTCCACCTGACCATGCATCACGTGACTGCCTTCCATAACATGGTCATCGCCTCCAGGGACGCTGTGGCCAGATTGCTGGACAGGAACCCAAACGTTCAGGTTTTAGTGCAGGTAGGTACATGCAGGTTTTAGTGATGGTATAGTACAGGTTTTAGTGAAGGTGGGTACATACAAGTTTTAGTGCAGGTATAGTACAGGTTTTGGTGAAGGTATAGTAAAGGTTTTTAGTGTAAGTATAGAACAGGTTTTAGTGCAGGTATAGTACAGGTTTTAGTGTAGGTATAGAACAGGTTTTAGTGTTGGTATAGTACAGGTTTTAGTGCAGGTATAGTACAGGTATTAATGAAGGTATAGTACAGGTTTTAGTGCAGGTATAGTACAGGTTTTAATGAAGGTATAGTACAGGTTTTAGTGTAGGTATAGTACAGGTTTTATTGTAGGTAGGTACATGCAGGTTTTAGTGCAGGTATAATATAGGTTTTTGAAAAGGTAAGAACATACAGGTTTTAGTGCATGTAGTTACGTACAGGTTTTAGTGAAGGTAGGTGCATAGAGGTTTTGGTAAATGTAGTTTATACAAGTTTTACTAAAGGTAGGAACCTACAGGTTTTAGTATAGGTAGGTACGTACAGGTTTTAGTGAAGATATAGTACAGGTTTTAGTAAAGCTAGGGACATACAGGATTTAGTAAAGGTAGTTTGTTATACAGGTTTTACTGAAGGTAGTTTATACAGGTTTTACTAAAGGTCTGAACATACAGGTTTTAGTACATGTAGGAATACCCAAATTTTAAGTAAATGTTGTATAAAACAGGTTTTGACTAAAGGTAGGAGCATACAGGATCTAGTATAGGTAGAAACATACAGGTTTTAGTAAAGGTATGAATACCCAGGCTTTAGTAAATGTAGTATAATACAGGTTTTTACTAAAGGTAGGTTGAACATACATGTTTTTAGTATACTTAGTACATAAATGTTTCAGTTCAGGTAGTACAGGTTTTACTGAAGGTAAGAAGATACACATTTTAGTTCACGTAGTATCATATACAGGTTTTTATACTATATAGGGAGGGAACATAAGGTTTTAGTTCGGGTAGGAACAAATAGGTTTTTACTAAAAGTAGGCACATACAGGTTTTATTAAAGGTAGAAAAATGCAAGCTTATGTAAGTTAGTACAATGAGATTTCAGTTAAGATAGTACAGGTTTTACTGAAGGTAGGAACATGCAGGTTTTAGTAAATGCAGGAGGTACTTACAGCTTTCAGTTTTGGTTGGTATATACAGGTGAGAAATATCCAGGATTCAGTAAAGATAGTACATACAGGTTTTAGTTCTGGAAGGTACTTACAGGTTGTTGTTTTTTGTAGGCACATAGTCTAGGTGCATACAGGTTTTAGTTTTTGCAGGTAAATAGGTATATACCGATTTTAGTTTTAGTAGGTACATAGGTACATAGAAGTTTTAGATTTTGTATGTAGCCTACATAGGTATATGTTTTTATCAGTGGTTTTAGTATGCCCATAGGTATATACAGGTTTTAGTTTTTGTAGGCACATAGGTACATACAGGTTTTAGTTTTAGTAAATATATAGGTACATACAGGTTTTAGTTTTAGTAAATACATAGGTACATACAGGTTTTAGTTGTGGTAGGTTCATAGGTATATACAAGTTTTAGCTTTTATACTCTCATAGGTACATACAGGTTTTTGTTTGTGTAAATACATACAGGTTTAATTACCAAATTTTAAAAAAATCATTTCACTAATTGCTACGGTGCCAAAAATGTAAATTATATCCAACTCTGGACACTCATGTGGCGTGAGGGTGGAGGGATCATGTATCTCTCAATCCCCTCTTTTTTCTCTAACATCATTCATTCATCAATTCATTAATTCATTGCTCACTGATCCATATGATGCCCTAAAATGTATAATTTTGACCCTCATAGGTTCCTGGTGTAGCATGAATATGGAGTGATAATTTATCCCCAGCTTTGTCTTTTCATTCTTTCATTCATTCATTCATTCATTCATTCATTCATTCATTCATTCATTCATTCATTCATGTTTAATTCGGTCCTTTCGAAGATGGACATTGAACTCGGAGGTCCCACCTCTTATATAACGTTCCAGTGTGGATAAGGGCATCAAACCTATACCATTTCATCATTTAAAACGATTGTTTGATTAATTCCTGTATCCACTGTTTCCCACAATGACACCAATGTATAATTCTGCCTCTCGCAGGGTCCTCACGTGACCTATGTGGGCTGGGACAAACACTATGTGGCTGGAGACGGCCTCGCAAGATTCATGGAAGAACTTCTCGTCCAAGAGTATAGGCCCTTGAGAGACAGAGTTATCTACTTGCGGACCTGGGACTTGACCCTGGCTTCCGAGAACTTTCCTTACCATCCGAGATTGCAACGGACAATCGATGACCTCATCTTGGATCTAATGTGTGGAAGATAGCATGACGCACAACTTCGCATTAGGCCTAGGCCTGCCATTAAAAGTCCCAACGATAGTGCCATATTGAAAGCTACAGTGGTCTGCCAGGCCAACTGAAGTTTCCAAATAGTTTTGCTTAAGTTTTCTTTGCCTGCTGAGATCATGGTTAAGATTAGTAACATGCAGAGAGCTTTTTGTATTGAACATTTCCTCACAGCCGACTTATTTCGTAAGTTTTGCAAAAGACACGGCCCGGTAACACTTTTAAATTGCCCTTAATGCCGTCTTTTTGGTCAAGGTTGGAAATGGTCCATCAGTAAAGACCTGTAGAGAACCAGAATAAAAAATCATGAAAACAAAACTCCAGATCAAACACACACCTTTCGCACCCCCTTTAAACGTCACCGGGTTGCAGACTACGGAAGATGAGCCACATGAGACGTCTGTCCGTAGACGATGTCTGCAACAAGGACCTTCCTACATCTCAACAGTCCGCATTTTCGAGGCAGATCTTCACCTACGACAATACCATTTTTCCTGTTCGCGAAGCTGGCAGGAATCAGAGGATAGCAATGTGTTCATGATTCCGCGGTCGTCTTGAAAACCGTGAGCATTTCCTCTTTGACATTTGATTCCTTGGCAAAACTCGATCATACTCACATTTCAGAATAATAATATGGTAACTCCACAAATGCCTATTTGGGAAACCTCACCCGCCACCCCACTGTCTCTAGAAGTAAAACTATACTGTAAGGTGTACAGTATGTGTAACTTTGAGTACTCATGGTTGGGTGGATCCTTGTGTTTGGCCACCACTTAACTTTATGAACGACGCATTAACATAATATGACGAGTCCACAGGAGGACATAAGGAGCATTAGTTCTAGGAATTCCAGAATTATAATTTGTTTTTTTTTAACTCTGTAAGAGAAAAGACATATTATTGTTTGAATGTTACAGGGATAGAAAATTTGATTTTAAAAAAGAAAAGCAAAGGGAAAAAAACAAACCAATCATAATAATATGACTCTCCTCAAATTACAAGATCTTTTAAATTGGTGCATTTTGAGTTTATAGATGGTTTTTATAAAAGTCATTTCTGTTTTCGAAAACAAGTTTCTTCTTAACGACTTGTAAGTCAAACAAATTCCTCTTGAATGAATTACATCTGTTCCAAATTACAATATTCTAGTGCAAATTTTGTGCAAGATATTCAGACAAAAAGTTGTAGAGATTTTTTTGTTTGTTTGTTGTTGTTTTTTGGGAGGGTGGGTTGGGGGTGGGGGGGATTATCACACTGTACTTGTATTATATTCGTAATAATATCATAGACTGTGTTCTTCAGCTCACTTCTGGGCTCGCCAAGAAGAGTTCTATTTGGCTCAAATGAAGGGTATTAGGAAAAGGTGCCACGTGGACTCGCCTATAGAGAGACAAGTGTTTTATCCATCATTTGACTGACCATTGTGAGCAAGCATAGCAGCCACGTTTTTATGGAGAGCGAAGGGAGAGCATCGAGGCATATACGTGTGAGTGTGTGTGTGTGTGTGTGTGTGTGTGTGTGTGCGTGTGTGTGTGTGTGTGTATGTGTGTGTGTGTTTGTGTATGTGTGTGCACGGACGTGTATATATGTGTGTGTGCCAGTGTGTTTTTTTTTGGTTTGTTTGTCCTCTTGTTTTTTTATCTTTGTTCATTCTCTCTGCAACACATTAAATTAAATCGTCATCGACTGTTGTTGAACTGTTCTTCTCTAGATGCACAGACATACTTTTTCATACCAGCATCATCATCATCATCATCATCATCATCATCCTCATCATCATCATCATCATCATCATCATCATCATCATCATCATCATCATCATCATCATCATCAT